TTCCTCGACGAAGTAAGAGACTCAGCCCGAGATAGAATGGCCGCCTATAAGCAGAGAATCAGCAAATTTTATAACCGAAGGGTCCATGCAAGGCCTCTCAAAATTGGAGACCTTGTCCTTCGGAATGCTGCTGCAGTTCAGAAAGGCCGAACCCATGGGAAACTCTCAGCTGTATGGGAAGGACCTTATGAAATTTATGATGAGCTTCAGCCAGGGACATACCGACTTCGGCAGTTGGATGGAACTGAGTTGAAAAATCACTGGAACGCTGATGTACTGAAAAAATACCATGTGTAAACCCTTCGGGGCAGAACAATCTTTGTAAGTACATTTTGAACTAATGAAAGGCCTTGGAGCCGCCATTTATACAAATGTTTACAAATTTTTATCCTTTCAAAATTTTCTTTGTTCTATCTACTCTTTAAGGGTTTTTTATTCAGCCTCGTCTGAAACCTTCGCCTTCGGGTAACTGGGTTTCAGATTGCTGACAAAACTCGTCTTTTTAAAGAACACTGGTCTTTCAGCTGAGGTCAAACTTCAGTAAGACTTGTTCTCCAAAGACATGAGTCCATGGACAATTCTGGGATATTGCCTTAACTGAGCCTTGTATCCCAGAGAGCCATTATCCGAAACATTGCCTTAAGTTGGCCCTGTGTTTCGGGTATCCATTTTTCAAAGATAGACAGAAAATCAAGGATAACAGCAACAGTTGAAAATTTTTAAATCAGCCTCGTCTGAAACCTTCGCCTTCGGGTAACTGGGTTTCAGATTGCTGACAAAACTCGTCTTTTTAAAGAACACTGGTCTTTCAGCTGAAGTCAAACTTCAGTAAGACTTGTTCTCCAAAGACATTAGTCCATGGACAATTCTGGGATATTGCCTTAACTGAGCCTTGTATCCCAGAAAGCCATTATTCGAAACATTGCCTTCAGTTGGCCCTGTGTTTCGGATATGCGTCTTTTTAAAGAACACTGGTCTTTCAGCTGAAGTCAAACTTCAGTAAGACTTGTTCTCCAAAGACATGAGTCCATGGACAATTCTGGGATATTGCCTTAACTGAGCCTTGTATCCCAGAAAGCTAATATCCGAAGCATTGCCTTCAGTTGGCCCTGTGTTTCGGATATCCAACTTTCAGATGAAGTCAATCTTCAGTAAGACTTGTATCCCAGAAGCATTGCCTTCAGTTGGCCCTGTGTTTCGGATACCCATTTTGAAGAAGTGAAGAAATTGCTTATTCAGCTGAAGTCATACTTCAATTTATGGGGGGGGGGGCAAGAAGCACTCTCAGTGCAAGTATGTACGGCAGAATTGAAGAAACAGAAACAGTAAAGCATTCAAAAACAAAGCAACTGAAGAAAAGAGCATCAGATTAATCATTCATGCTCAGAAATTGAGCTACAAGTTCAATTAAACTGTATCGGCAGCCGCCCACAAGCGGAAAATAACAGCTGCCGAAATACGTACATAAGCAAAAAAAAATAAACTGTTGTACGACAAGGCAAGCTGAAGCAAAAAACAAGGCAAAAAATTCAGAAAGCGGCAAGTCTAAAGTTAAGCGCATGATGAACCGCAAGATTCTGAAGACGACTGCCCGAGTTCCTATGCTTCAGCCTGAGGATCAGACTGATCAGCGTTGAGCCCCATGGTGGCCTCAGCCCCAGCAGCAGAAGAAGCGGGCTTTGCACTCTGCCGAGCCTCCCTTTCCCTCTGTTCAGCTTCCAACTCCATTCTCTCAGCTTCCTCTTCGGCTTCCTCAGCCTTAAGAATTTCAGCTTCGACTGGAGTTGCATACTTCATATGAGGGTCTTCGGGATTCTGGACCCATTCAGCACATTTAGACCAGTCCAGCTTCGGTTCAGCATGAAGGCAGACTCTTCGGCATACTCTGAACCCGTTTCTGAAACCCATCTCATATTCCTCTTGGGTATAGACACGGACTTTGAGTAGAGCCTCAGCATCAGCAAGCTTCTTCTGGGTCTCCTCCAAGTCTTCCTTGGATTTCTTCAGCTCATCAGCGAGCTTGGAGGAGGAACCTTTCAGCTCATTCAGCTCCTGCTGAACTTGGAAAGCCTTTGTCTGAGCTTGGGCCACTTCAACTTTTTTGGTCATCAGTTGATCCTCAGCCTCATGGAGTTTAGCTCTCTGAGCTTCGGCAGCAGCAGCAGCCTCTGAGAGTTGGACATCTTTGGCCTGGAGCAGCTCTTCAGCAGCCATTCGGCTGGCTTCAAGAGCTTCTAGACGTTGCTGCACTTCAGCTTGTGCAGCAGCTCCTTCCTGAATACGACTCTCAACAGCAGCCTTGAATTTGGAGACGTCCACTCCCATATGCTCCTGGAGGAATTTTTCCCCTTCCATCAGTGGGGGAAAAACTTCCTTCTCCATAGCGTCGCAGAAGGTTTTGAGGGCTTCAGCATCTCTTTTCTCGTACTCCTCACCCTTCTGCTGCTTCTCTTCAGCTGCTGCTTGCTTCAGCTTAGCAAGCTTTAATTCCTCTTCAGCTACCTTCTTGTCGTGCACAGCAGCGTCTACCCTATCTTGTAGGAAGAATGTGAGTAAAAAAAAAAAAAAAGAAGAAAAGAAAAAAGAAAGACAAAGTTAAGTCTGAAAGCTCACCGAGGTCTTCAGCAAAGCCTCGTCTTCTTCAGGTGCTCTAGCTGCAGCTTCTGCTTCAGCAGCTCTGGAGGACCCTTCTCCTCCTTCGCAAGCTTCGAGAACCCGTGCAACCTCTTCGGCTGTACGGGCAGCTTCAGCTTCTTCGTCCAGCAGCTGAAACCAGGGGTCTCTCTTCTTCCACCAAGGCTTCTGCCTCTGATACAGAGCAACAGCCTCAATTTGGAAGTGGGAAGAGTCTAGATGAACTTCCCTATGCCTCGGCTCAGTGATAGACGAGGCCCGTTCAGTTACAACTCGTTCTCGGTTGACACCAAGACGAGCGTAGTTAATGCCAACGTTGGTCTCGTCCCGCTCTGAAAAAGGAAAGGGGAAAGGTTAGTTCAGATAGGTTGGCACAGCATAAAAAAGCGAAGCGAGAGAAGAAAAAGAGATAGTTAAAAAGCCTCGGCCCCAGCCGAAGAAGCTTACCATCCTTAAACTTTCGGCTGAGGCCAACAGCTGCTAGCATGTTCTCTTGGAAAACGTAATGCGTATCGGGGAGCCAAGTCTCCGGGATATGCTGCATTCGGCCACTGCCCCCCCGGTTCGGCAGCTTGCCGAAGATATGTTGCTGATCAAGGTTCGGATCCGCCCCGTTATCTGCGGGGGGACCTAGACTTCCCATTTCGGGATCAGGCTCAGCGAGGTACCGGGGAGCGCTGAAGACGCAAGGGTGGCCCGGATCTGTGGGTGCCCTAACCCAAATCCATTGACCTCTCCAGTCCTTGTCTGAAGAGTCGTTTGGCCACATGGTTAGGTATTGGGGCCGGGACTCAATCCGGTACCACCCAGAACCATGGCTTCCGTGCCCACTTTGAATATTTGGCACTAGCCGATGGAGCTTTTTGAAGCAGTGCAGGTTCGGCACATACTTGAAGAACTTGCAGACCCATAAGTATGTCATCACCCTTCGGATGCTGGTGGGAGTTAACTGACATAGAGAGATGTTGTAATGGATCAGCAAGTCTCGGACGAATACGTCAAAAGGGAACCTCAGCCCGTACTGAAGCTGTCTTGTGTACACCCCCACATACCCCGGGGGTGGACGATGGATTCTATCGGATGCCGAGGGCATTCGGCACCAATACCCATCAGCTTCAAAAATGCCGTAATGCAACTCAATTTGCTCGGCAAATCGATATAGATCGGCATTCTCCACCCACCATGGGTAGGGGCGGTTCTTTATCATGGCCGAAGCAACTTCGGCATTCTCCCATTCTGAAAACCCGGGGAGGATATCCCAAAGGACAGCGGGAACTTCATCATCCCGTCCAGAAGCGCTCGGCTCCTCCGTTCTCTGAGGAGGAGCCGAGGAAAGGGGAGTCGCCCTAATCCCTTCAGCAGGGTCAGACTCTGGCCTTTGTCCATTCCAGGTCCCAATCCTGTTCCTAGGATCGGGAATCGGCCTTGCTCTTCTTGGAGCACGGGCTCTACCTCTAACTCCTCTTGCCATTGATTATTTCGAAGAAAAAAGTCGAAAGAAAAGGGGAAGGAGTTCGAATTCGAAGAAAAATAAACTGAAATCAAAGGAATTTACCTTAATCTGAAGCGAAAGTTGTCGATTTACGAGTTCGTAGTGGCAAGTCTCAGTTTCTAAGCTTAATGCTCGGGGAATTTGCGAAGTTTTGATGCGGGTTCTTGGTTTCTCTCTCGAGAATTCTGGGTTTGTGTTGGTGAATAAGTGAGGAGAGATGACGCGCCTCTGTTTATATCTCCAGGAATGGGATACGAGGAGTCTGCGTTTTAATTTCTCTTAAATACTCCACTAAGTAACCGTTAAACACATGATCTTGTGATTAAACTGTCCATTATCCGTCCAACTTCCACAATCATCCGCCTTAACCGTTGTTATCTCATTAATTACGGTTTAAATTCAAATTTTTGGATTAATTAAATCATTTACTTCCCTCCTTTTCTGAATTAAATCAAACCCGACCCGTCATCCTTCCAAATCGGGTCTGGGGGGCAAGTTGTTTGGGTCCAATTTAGTCCAATTGGGCCTAAGCACTAAATGATCCAATTAAAAGCCCAAGGTCAAGGTTCAACTCTCCAATTGTGCTAAAGTCAAAGGTCAGCCCACAAAGCAAGCCAATTGGGCTAAGGCCCAACCTCTCCATGTATGATGAGGTATAAAAGCCATCAATATTGATACATTCATAGATTATTCATATATAGATTCATATGTTCATTCATATATTCTGATATATTCCATAAAAGCCTCAAGCAACAAACTCTCTTGCATAGTGTCCTCTTCTTACACATTGTACTGACTTTAGCATCGGAGGGGCCTTCCTCGGCAACACCCCCGAGGCTAGTTTACGTGTGTTTACTGTGCAGGAAACCTTCGGCCCAACATAACTTGGACCGAATCCAGCCTTCTCCATTTCAGCGGACCTTCGGCAAGGTCCCATTGTTTTCACCCGAAACAATAACTATTTGTAACATCTCTAAATTTTCATATTGGCAACACATTGTGTCCTTCCAAGCAGCTTGCAACGCTGCTGTATCTACAGGTTAGCAATACTACACTACTACAGCTGCTCATTACTCACTGTTATTGATGTTTATTACAGTTCTCTGGACTATCTGTGCAGATATCTGAGGTTGATTAGCATCTATAAGTTTCTTGCTTGAAGCCATGCTCCGTACAGGCATGATTTAAACTGCTTTATTTCTCCTTGTTAATTGATTGCATTCAATTTATGTCTTGTTATTTAGAGATTGTTTTCTAACATTTTGGAATTGCTTTTGTGATACGAAATTCTCAGTTATGGCTGGAATGTTGGTCACCATGGAAAGGCGGCGCCTGATGGAGTTGATTCCAGAAACAATAAGAAAGTTTTGGAAAATCTGGCAGTTGAGGTTTCTGGTTTTTGTCAGCCTTTTCTTGCAAATTGCATTGATATCATTGGGTAAGGTCAGAAAACGCCATGGGAAGCCTGTGCTGAGATTTATAATTTGGTCTGCATATTTATTGGCAGACTGGGTGGCAACACTTGGACTTGGGGTTATCCTCAACAGAGTCCAAGAACACCCAAACAAAGATGCGCCTATAGATGATGATCTTATATCATTTTGGGCACCTTTCTTGCTGCTCCATCTGGGTGGTCCAGATACAATCACTGCCTACTCGTTAGAGGACAACCAGCTTTGGCAGAGGCGAGTGCTTGAGCTGGTTACCCAATTATCTGTGGTTGTTTACATATTAATTGTAGCCTGGCCAGGTAAATCCTTTCTCTCTCTCCTGACTATGCTAATGCTGCTAGCTGGTGTAGTCAAGTTTGGAGAGAGAATATATTCCTTAAGATCTGCAAGCACTGACCAGTTCCGCTTTTCACAAATGACGGAGCCTGAGCCGGGACCGAATTATTCCAAGTTTATGGAGGAATTCACCCTGAAAAAGGCAGAGGGGTTCTACATGAGAGCAATTGAGGTTATTGAGACCCCTCTTCCAACTCATGCTTCCATTTCCATTTCCAATGAGAATGAAGATTTGGTTCTTAAAGCGTGTGACCTATTCCGAACCTTCAAGCGCCTTTTTGTAGACCTCATTCTTAGCTTCCAAGATCGAGATAAGAGTCAGCGTGTCTTCCACAATCTCGGTTATGAAAAAGCCTTTGAGGTGATTGAGATTGAGCTTGGATTTGCATATGATGTGTTCTACACCAAGGCACCTGTTGCTTATAATCGAAGGGGGCACATTTTTCGCCTATTTACCTTGCTAGCAACCTTATCTTCGTTGGTGGCCTTTATCGTTATCCACAGGGTAAAAAAAGATCATTACAACAAAGTTGACCTAATCATAACCTACTTACTGCTTGTGGTAGCTATAATATTGGAGATCTGTTCTTACCTCATTCTTCTATTCTCAGACTGGTCAGATCACTGGGTGAAGAAGCACTACAAGCAGAGCATCATCTCTTCCTCCAGGCACCTTTTTAGGGTGCCAAGGAAAGAGGTGCCTAGGAAACGATGGTCTAACTCGATTGCCCAGTATAGCATACAAATTTTTTGTCGAGAACAAAAGTCAAGCAAATTTCCTCAATTCTTGAAGCTCTTGATGGCTGAAAACAAGGTAGATGAACTTTACTACCTTACCTATACCGGTGTGTCTAATGATTTAAAGGATTTGATCTTCGAATATTTTTCGAAGATCTCAAAAAGTGGTGATAAGAGCCAATTTTCTGCTTTATGCACCTCTAGAGGCAAGCGTGTCCTGGATGGTAAGGATTGTAGCGACTTGAATTGGTCTACCACTGAAATAGAATTCGACCAAAGTATTCTTCTGTGGCACATTGCAACTGATCTGTGTTACCACATAGATGATGGTAGTACAAATTTGGGAGAGGAAATAAATTCAGAGCGTACAGAAAGCAAACACATGTCAGAGTACATGATGTATCTTTTGGCATTGCGTCCTTTCATGTTGCCTATGGGGATTGGGATGATAAGGCTCAGAGATACTTGTGCAGAGGCTAGGGATTTCTTCAAAGAGCAACGACAGCAACCTAATAAAGCCCAAGCATGTAGGATGTTGCTTCGGGTAAATACTGAAATCCAACCAGGTGACTTTCTTTTTCTCCATTTTCTGAAACCAGTATTGACTGTTAAATCAATTGGAAGTAAATGTATGTGGCATCTAATGTGAAGCTCGAATTTTATCAAATTAGACTTTTATTAATTGGGCAAGTTGCCCCTTAGCCTTTCAGTGAAGCAAACTAACCCCAAAACTTGTATAAATCGACAAACCATGCAATTAATCTTCTCCAACACCCAGCCAATTTCTTTCCAGAATGAAGACATGGCACCATTCTAGTCCTTTCTAATTTAAGGACACCGAAATTAATTTCTTGTTGGGGGTATGATACAACTATGATATGGTAGACAGTTGTTATATATACACTGTTAGATTATTTCCTGTCGGGGTGTGATAAAACTGGAAAATGGAAGTATTTGTGAAAGAAGAGAGTCTACTGCCCCTATCTAATCTTTCTCCCCTTTTTTTGCCATTCTTCCATTAATTCTCCATTTGCTTTCTCTTAAAAATATCATTGTTTTTATTTTTTTATTAATTAGTATTACATCTTGCAATTCTAACAAGTGAATTATATACTTATCTCCATAGATCAAATGCTCTGTCTATTTGCGAACTAATACTTGCTGTTAGTTTAATGCACAGGAAAGCCCGACTTTCAAATTTCTAGAGATTTGTTTTTATTTTTTGAAGAACATACCATTATGCTTACTTTAAAGGCTTCAGCAGTATCACTTAAACATATGACTAATATGGTATACAAGTTTAGTTTATAATTAATCTTAACATTCTTTTGATTTACTCTGTAAAATTAACCCCACTCCAAACAAAATGACATTCTTCCTTTTTCTTTAATACCCTATTTGATGTGAAAAGATCAGCTCCTGTTTTTCAAATCAGTTAATGTGTATTGGATATTGGAAGAAATGTATACATTAATGACAAACATGAAGCTTCACAGAGCATGTGAGAATTATCAATGGAGGACAAATGTGCCTTTTCAGTTTGTGTATAAGGCTTAAAATGCTTAATCATGGGTGTCATTTAAATGTTTATGAAGAATATATACATGTAAAGAATCTGAAAAAATTATTTTCTGGTGCTGCATCAAATAAGGGCGGGATTTAGTTGCACGATCTATACAAGTTTTGGGGAGGACCCGCACAATAGGTAAAAGCCTTGGGGCCAGGTTGCCACTTTGCCATTAATATTTAATACTTCCCAAGTTCGCATCTTTGTTCCTTGTTTGAACTATAACAATTTGCTTGACTCCATCCTTTTATATGACAAAGTTGCAAACTTGGGAGTTTCTTAGGTGGATAATTTTAGTTATAGGGCACAAACTTGGGAATTTTTCCATCCAAATTTCCAATCTAAAATTTGTAGTACACAATCTTTTTCTGCTATAAAGACTACTTAGTATTACATATTAAATCATCTTCTGTTATGTGCCAGGTAAAGTTAAAGGGGATCGCAGCAAATCTGTGCTGTTTGATGCTTGCAGGCTAGCCACTGAACTGCTATCCAAGAAGGGTCAAGCATGGGAGATTATAAGCCAAGTTTGGGTAGAGATCTTGGCTTATGCTGCATGCCATTGTCGCGGAACTCACCATGCTCAACAGCTTAGAAAAGGGGGAGAGTTCCTTACCCATGTCTGGCTTCTGATGGCACATTTAGGCATCACTGAACAGTTTCAGATTTCTCAGGGTCATGCTAGAGCTAAGTTAGGTGCAAAATAAATCCTTGTACAGTCCTCTTAATCTGGGCAGATGGCGGTTATTTTGAAGGCAATTTTCTTATGCTACTAGTTATATATGGTGACCCGTAGCATTTCAATGTTTCGAGGTATATTAATATGGATTGCATCCATGAACCCATCCATTGTTGACTGGAGAGCTCAAGCCTTTTATATATTTCTTTTTTTACTCCTTATATTTTAGAAATGACAAACATGAGGTCGTAAATCATAATTTGAACTTCAAATGAGAAAAAACCATTACATGCCCATTTACACGACTACACAAAATACGTACAATACTAATGTAGATTTGGAAGTTGTGTAGGGAAATGTTCTCATGCACTATGCATGCATCATATGTTTGGACGCCACGCAAATTAGAATAAAATTAATACGTAATAAACAAGTTATAGAAGTACTTTCAGTTTGGGCTATAAATAGTAAGTAGTCACAGTCAAGTACCATTACTATCAACAATAATAATAATAAAAATAAAAAGTTCAAATTGGTGCAAGATTGATGAAGACGGTCACAATGAAGCTAAAAATAGCAAACTCAACCATCTTGCTCGCTTCGTTAGGTTTGTTTTTGAAATATTTTTGTGTATTTTTGTTTTTGGTAGTCATGGTAATGAGTTAGGATGGTACAAGATGACGCTTCTTGGAGTCTCGACACAATGTGCTAGGGTTTTATAGGGTCAACATGGGACGACATGGGTGACTCGTGATCCATTGTGCCAAATGCTCGATCTTGCCCTCATCAATTACTTTCATTAGTGGTCGTTTGAAATATGACTATCATAATGTTCAAGTGATTATGTAGAGCTCAGCTCATGATTGACATATTTTTCGCCAATCAATAAATTATACTACGTTAGGATGTTAGATTATAGGGTTTATTAATCATAGTTAGATTGTAGGTTAGTATATAATCAATTTTTTGTAAAGGTAATATGGTAATTTTACCATTCCTAAACTTACTGTAAAAGGAAATAAAATTATTTGTTGCAAATAATATGAACCACCCACTTTTAGTAATTGTTGCAAATAATAAAACGGAGGAAGTATTTTGTATTACTTAAATTTCGAAATAGAATAGTATTATCACCATTTTTTAATTTATTAAATTTTTAGTTTCATTTATGTAATTTATTATATTTTTATATTATAGTTTTTCAAAAAAAAAATATTTTTTTATGTTGGATTAAAATTTTCAAAATTATGTATGCATTGTAGATATTAGATGATTAATAATGTCCATATTATAATGTGAAAAAATGAACCGATCATATTATTTATCATTAAAATAATATGATAGTCATATTTCAAACAACCATCGTAAAAACATCCAAAGCCGTCCAAAATTACTTGCATTGCTATTACTATTCTTAACGGTTTTATCCATTAATATATGTTAGGTTTTCAGTAATTCAAGAACAAGAACTACTTAATAATTGTGGGAACAAAACCTAACTTTGTATAATCAAAATTAAATTATACAATAATCCAAATACAAACCAATGTATTTCAACCAAACACCAAATTTCCAAAGTATTACAGAAATTACAATGAAAACACTAGTTGTGAAAGATAATATACTTGCCTCTGCTCCAAGCTTTAACAACCAACATGAACATGAGAAAAACCGGTGACCACTTGAGTCTCAATCCTTGATACACTGACTTAGGCGTATGAATACTTTCCTAAAGAGTTTAATTTCCTCCACAATGGTGCTTGGGTTTGATCCGGAAATACTCTTTGAGATACAAAAGCCAGCCAATTGTTCTTTGCACTAAGAATCAAAATGATGATGAATAATTCACAAAGAAGACTAAAATCAAGAAGATTTCTCACAAAAGTTTGCAAGATTTTTGAGAGAAATTATGGAGAATTTCTTTGGGAGGATATCAGAGAATAAAGTTCTGTATATTTTCTATCCCGAAATCAAGTCTTTAATAAAGTTTTAACCGTCAAAAAATTCGCAAAAAACAGATGGCGCGGGCGCTCCACGGGGAGGAGCGGGTGCTCCTCAAGGTGGAGCGAGCGCTCCTATAATAGGAGCGGGCGCTCCTCTTCTGGAATTCCAACGTTCTGATTTTCCAGAAAGTTGACGCGATTTTGTCGCGATTTAGGTGCGGGTCGCGCCTAATAGTGGCGCGGGCGCGCCACCTGGAGGAGTGGGCGCTCCTCCAAAGACTTGCCAGATTTCCAGAAACTCATCGCGGTTTTAGCGCGGTTTCATCGCGGGTCGCGCCTAGCTAGCGCGAACGCAATCAAACAGTAGAACACGCTCCACTCCGACACTCTAAATATTCCAACAATCCTCCCCCATTTAGAGTGTCCCTTTAAACATTCTCCAATTCTATCATTTAGCCACATCTTATGCATCAATGTTAATGTCCCTTCGGATTGAATTAACACCTAGTACAACACACCTAACGATGATCATATCCTATGATTTCCATACGGATTGAATCACACGGATATATCCAATCATTCGAAGGTGAAGTACACATAAGACAAATCGAATTAATCATCACTTGACACCTTTAAATAGCCATGTGTCCGTATCTTTCATAAGTTCATCGAAGTCTATATGTCCATCTAGACTTCTTGAAGCGGCTAAACTTCGAACTTATATAGGTAGGTTCTCATATACGTAAATGTGCCCTTGTGACAAGACACTTACATTTAGAGCTTCTCAACTCTAAATCTTTGAGAACTTTAAATGACGCTACCTAACACATCACAAGTATTATAGCAATATGGGTCATCAAATATTGCTAACAAACATCAAAAATGCAAATTCAACCACATTGAATCTAAGAATTGATGTTTCTTCAAGCGTTAGATTGGGTTTCACAAATTTGTGTTTTTGTACATAAACCCATTCCATTCATAGAAAATATGATGGAATGTCTTGGCATTGCCTTTGTAAAGCAATCCGCCAAATTCAACTTTGTTGGAACATAGTCAAGACTTATGACCCCATCATTGATAAACTCTTTCACTAGGCTATGCCTTAGTGAAATATGCCGAGACTTACCATTGTACACTTGACTATAAGCCTTTATCAACGCCGAATTGGAATCACAATGGATTGCCACTGGTGGCATTGGCTTTGACAATAAAGGCAACTCTATCATGAGATTCCTCAACCACTCAGCTTCTTTACTAGCTGAAGCAAGAGCAATAAACTCTGCTGCCATAGTGGAATCAGCGATGCAAGTTTGTTTCTTGGAAGACCATGAAATGGCACCTCCTCCAAACATAAATACCCAACCACTTATAGAAGAGTCATCCTCTTTGTAAGTGATCCAACTAGCATCCAAAATCCTTCTAAAACCGAAGGAAATCCACTATAAGATAGACCATAGTCTAATGTACCCTTAAGGTACCTCAAGACCCTTCGAACTGCAAACCAATGTTGTGCACCCGGGTTACTAGTAAATCTACTTAGTTTTCCCACAGCCAATGCAATATCCGGTCTTGTACTAGTCATGGCATACATCAAGGATCCAATTATCCTTGAATATTCCAATTGGGAAATTGTTTTCCCCGAATTCTTAACCAATTTGACATTTGGTTCCATGGGGGTGTTCACGGGACACTTATCAAACATATTGAACCGTTTGATCATTTTCTCAACATAGTGAGATTGACTTAAAATAAGTCTTCCATTATCCCGAATTATCTTGATGCCCAATATGACATCCGCCTCCCCCAAATCCTTCATCTGAAAAGATGAGGATAAGAATTCCTTGGTCAATTCTACTTGTTGTAGACTTGTACCAAAGATAAGCATATCATCAACATATAGACAAATGATGACACCATGACCTTTGTCATCAAATTTGCTATATATACACTTATCAGCTTGATTCACCTTGAATCCTAAGGACAAAATTGTGTCATCAAACTTCCGATGCCACTGCTTTGGTGCTTGTTTAAGTCTATACAAGGACTTAACCAATTTACACACCTTATCTTCTTGTCCTTCCAAAACAAACCCTTCGGGTTGTTTCATGTACACTTCTTCCTCTAGATCTCCATAAAGGAATGCCGTTTTGACATCCATTTGATGGATTACTAGATTATATACCGAAGCCATTGCAATTAACAACCTTATCGAGGTTATTCTTGCAACCGATGCATAGGTGTCAAAATAGTCAACACCATGCTTTTTCCTAAAGCCTTGGATAACCAATCTAGCTTTAAATTTCACTATGGAGCCATCCGGTCTCCTTTTTCTAGTGAAAATCCACTTGCAACCAAGAGGTTTGCAACCGGAAGGTAAATCCTCTAAGACCCAAGTGTTATTTCCCATGATGGAATCCATCTCATCATTTATAGCCTCTTTTCCAAAATGCACTATCTTGGGAAGAAATTGCTTCACTATAAGTTTTTGGGTCACTATCCACATTGAAACAATATGGAATAGTAGAACTAAGGGTATCCCAAGAACCTTCAACTAGGTAGATTATAAAATCATCACCATAGTTCTTAGGTCTCCTATCCCTAGTACTCCTCCTAACTTGAGGAGGTTCAACATTCTCTTCATTGGATGTTTCTTCATGAGGAGGTTCAAGTTGTACATCCAACTCTACTATCTCCCTATCATTGGAACTAACTTGTAGATCTTTCGGTCTACTCATTGATGAAAATCGATTTTCAACAAATATAGCATCTCTTGACTCTATAACCGAATGAACGGAAATACAGTCATTTTTTTCTATTACATAGAACCTATAGGTTTTTCTAAACTCAGCATAACCTATAAAAATGCATTCCAAGCCCCTTTCACCGAGCTTTCTCTTCTTGTTGCCGGGCACTCTTACGGCTGCCCTACAACCCCAAACCTTGAGATACTTCAAGTTTGGCTTTCTTTTGTACCAAAGTTCATAAGGAGTAGATTCTTTTCCCTTTGTGGGAACTCGGTTAAGAATGTGACATGCTGTCAACATTGCTTCACCCCAAAACCCCTCACTCAAACCTGAGTAAGATAACATGGAATTAACCATTTCTTCTAGGGTTCTGTTTTTCCTTTCAGCTACACCATTTGATTGTGGTGCATAACCAGCTGTAGTCTCATGAATTATACCCAAAGATTGGAAATAACTTGGATCATAGTATTCCCCTCCTTTATTAGTTCTTATTCTCTTAATAAATGAATCTACTTGCAATTCTACTTCCTT